AAAAAAAAAAAAAAAAGCATTAACAAAATAAAAAAAAAAAAAAAAAAAAAAAAAAAAAAAGCCGAAGTACAGATCTCAGCCATGCTGATATATGTGCAGCAGCTTGATCCTGGCATAGAAGGAAGTCCTCATTCTTATTTTTCATCATTGCTGCACAATTTTTTTTCCTCAGGTCAGGTGGGTATGTATAGCAAATACCATTTTTCTCAAAAAGGAATTACAGTGTATATCGAATAAATTTTGTAGTTGGTAATCATTGCAAATAGCTTTACTATGTATTTTACATTTGTGTACGGTAGAGAATGTTCCCACAAACATAGAATCTTGGCTTAAATAAAGTTGTGATTGATATTGAAGTATGGTTTTTTTGTACAATGCTGTAGAAATTAACCGGAGAAGAATCTTTTCCAGGATTGCCAAGGAAGAAACCCGCCTGCAATACAAATAGCATATGAAGGACTGTAAGGCAATCAATTTTACACGAATAACTTTGTTAAATGTTGATCAAATGACAAGAAAAACAGAGAAACAACAAAGCAATGAAAAGCAATGATTTCTATAATTCCTAGGTTTTCAATGAACATCCGAACAATTTGTAATTGCTATACCATGCATGAGATCTAAATTTATACACGTTGAAGTTACCGTGTTTGAAATTCAATCACTGACACATCAGAAAGCCTCATAAATCAGGAATACTTCAGAGACGCACAATGACATTCTCCCAGATGCATACTCAATTGCTTAAATAGTACATGACATAAAAAGAAGAAGTGAATGCAATCATACCACATTCAGGGCAACGAAAATATTCCTTTTCCCTAAGAACAAGCCCTGACCCTCCACACTCCTCACATCTTTTTTGAGCTATCTGTAACAATATCCAACAATAAAGACATGAAACACACGAGTTTCATAACTTACGAGTTACAACTTAGAAGCTCAACGAAAAGAGGGACTTACTATTCTTTTGCTAAATTCAATCCCTGCCACCACAAAAGGGGTAACCCCAGCTGCAAAATTCAAACACAGATACTCAAACCAATTTCTCACAAAAAAGAAACACCATTATCTTTCCATAAAGATAAGCCCAAAAGTTAAATGTAATCTCTCGGTATTATTCTCTATCAAAATTACAATTCTTAAACCCAATTGGTTTAAAGTGAAACCCAATTGGTTTAAAGTGAAGTTGCATGAAGTGCAACTTCTCAACACTTCCTTCCACAAATGTCTACCAAAACAAGCTATGAATATTAATGTAGCTGATTAGGTGAACTATGAAGATGAATTATTGGTTCTGATAGTACGTTAGATTCTATCTTAGAATCAATTCGTTTCAAGTGAAGTTGCTTGAGAGATAATATGTTAAATTTCGTTTATCCAAAAGAAACATTTAAGTCCTACTCTAAGAATTCCAACAAAATTAATCACATAAAAAACATAGGAGGAATTGAATCTAGGAAAGTAAAACATGAAATAATGTGTTTGTTAAGGTACCTATAGTTCCAACCACAATTTGCCAGGTGACTTCCACTGGAGCACGATCAAGTACTGTGGTTACATCTTCCACATTCACAGCACCCACCCTTGTTCTTCTTCTTCTTCCACTCTTAACCCAAACATCACAACCTTTCCTCGGAGTCACGTGACAGTTCCGTGTGACTCTGCTCCTAGTTTTCATACTCCCTAACGAAAGCATAGACAAAGAAGACGCCGCTACTGCTTCCATGGTAACTAACTGCCCAAGCCCGTTCACTTCACAGCACCCCAACAGTTATAAATAAGGCCACGTGGGCTTTTTTAGCCCACGGGCTCGCGCCACCCACGCGTTACTTTGTGTGACTCATGTTTGAGATATGGTTTTTTAAGTTAAAACGACACCGTTTCATATAGAAAGAAAGAAGATAAACCTCTTTGTAGTGCAGAGATTCTGATTTAGGGTTTTGGAGTATATTCTTTTCTGTTTCTCTGTTTAGCAATGGCTGCTATTATGTCTCTCTATCCTTATAATCCCTTGCTATACTTTTCGACTTCTTCGAGTTTCCGTTCTCAATTTTGGAACTTGGAGAGGGGGCATTTGCGTTGTGAGAAGTTGCAGAATTTGGTGGAACTCGCGGCGCATTCCAATCCGAAGATTCTCAAGACCAACAGGAAGTCAAGGTATGGAGAGGCACTGTCGCTGTACGATAGTGACGAAGACGATGAAGAAACCGATGAGGATGATGATGATGACGACGACGACGATGCTGATTGGCTTTCTGATGTGAGTTCTGTGATTTAATTGTGTGTGTTCAAAATTTGTCTTTAAATTTTGTAATTCAAATGATAAGTGTGAAGTTGGTCTTTAATTGTGCATTTGGATTGCTTCTTCTGTTCAATGTGACAAAATTGTGGAATATTTAATTGTCTGTTGAAATTTGATATTGATTTTTGCTTATTAATTGTTAATTTTCCCTTTCATTGTGGAACATGTGTGCAGGAGGAGTTTGCTGAGCCTGCCGACTTTGATGTTAGTAACAAGAGATTTAAGTCGAAGAAGATTCAAGGTATGATTGAAGGAGTTTTATTGACTAGTTTTGAGTGGAAAGTTGGATATTCATAATTTTGTTTTGTTCAGGAAAAGATAGACAACAGAAACGGGAGTGGGGTTTGAGATCTTTTGACAATGAACAAAGCATTAGATTGCCAAGAAGTGAGAGAGTGGCATCCTTACAACGAAATGAGAGTGGAAAGGTACCAAATGGTGATACAGTAAGATGTATAAAGTGTCAAATCATGCCATTTAATGTACTTGTGGTGCTCTTGAACCTTGTGTTTATTTTCTTTCTCTTTTCAAGTTGCAGCTTAGTAGAAATGTAAAGGATAAAAAATATCCACGGTTGTCCGAAGAGATTCCTTTGGATGTGAAATGGTTGCCACTTCTTGATTACTTGAGCACCTTTGGAATAAAGGAATCACACTTTATCCAAATATATGAGAGGCACATGCAATCTCTTCAAATTAATGTTTCTTCTGCAAAGGAAAGGTTGGAATATTTATTGAGTGTTGGTGTTAAGCATAGAGATGTAAGAAGAATCCTTTTGAGGCAGCCACAAATTCTTGAGTATACTGTGGAGAACAATTTAAAGTCTCGTGTTGCTTTCTTGAGGGGCCTGGGCATACCTAATTCTAGAATAGGGCAAATCATTGCTGCTGCTCCATCCTTGTTTTCTTATAGTGTTGAGAATTCGTTAAAACCAACTGTTAGATATTTAGTTGAGGATGTTGGCATCAAGGAAAAAGATTTGGGTAAGGTCATTCAGCTTAGTCCCCAAATTCTTGTGCAGAGAATTGACATTTCATGGAATACTCGTTACATGTTTCTTACCAAAGAGTTGGGTGCACCCAGAGATAGCATTGTGAAGATGGTGACAAAACATCCCCAACTTCTCCATTACAGCATAGATGATGGATTGCTTCCAAGAATAAAATTCCTAAGAAGCATAGGAATGAAAAATTCAGACATCGTGAAAGTCTTGACTAGCCTTACACAGGTCATTTTGCATGTATTTCCCTCATTATTAATTTGTGAAAATTATCCTGTTTTACTGCTTCAAATTTCCATTTTATACTACCTTTGCACTAATAGAACGAGGAAAATAAAATGCTATATGATATTGTCATATTTTTGTATCTTTTGGATTGGCACTTCTTATAATATGAAGAATAGTTTGTATCTCTTGTTAATGTTGACTACTGTGCTTGCAGGTGCTATCCCTGTCCCTGGAGGAGAATCTAAAGCCCAAATATTTGTACTTGGTTAATGAACTTAACAATGAGGTTCAATCCTTGACCAAATACCCAATGTATCTTAGCTTATCTTTGGACCAGAGAATTCGTCCTCGTCATAGGTTCTTGGTTTCCCTAAAGAAAGCTCCAAAAGGACCATTTCCTCTTGGATCTTTTGTTCCAACTGATGAATGCTTTTGCCAACAGTGGGCTGGAACTAGTTTGGATAAATATTTGGCATTTCGTCAGAGATTATTACTTCAAAAGTTTGCTGAGAAGTATGAAAGAAAAATGTGACAGATCAGAATCAAGTGTATCAGTCAACTTGCATGAGTACTGGAGGAGGAATCTGTTGTAATATTATTGTCATGCAACATGTTTCTATAAAATGTTCTTGATGTTCCTTCTGCGCTGTGGCTGAAGCGCTCAATTTCATGACACACTCGAATATCAGTGTCTTATTCCAGGCAGAAGCTGCTCAACTACTTTTGTGGATTTATGATTGCTGTTTCTGTTGGAATCATACAGTTGTTTCCAAAGTGCCAGGAAAGCAGAGCATATCATGGCACATTTTGTCACCCTAAGGTGAGCTTGTTTGATAATTAATAATTAATACATTCAGTATGCTGTTATTAAGTCCTAAATCCCTTTCTTATGGCAGGTTGTGGACAATATTGCAAACTTATATTGGTATAAATTGAAGAACGAAGCTGTATCATATCAACTTTAAGATCTAGCTTATGGATTCTGTCATTGCTACTCATGTTTCCTTTTACCTTCAATGATGTGTGTGAGTGGATATATCTTTTTACTGTTTTCAATCTTTTGTGTATCTGAAATCAATAGGAATTTTGCTACCTTTGTCACGGTCACTAGACCTATACATAATTCTTTTGTTTCCCTGCGGCCATTTGTATTACATGTATGAGTTTAAATATCTTTCTTATTCCTTTCAGTACTTGTAATATCACATGTAATACACTCTCAGTTGGTGTGATATATATCACTTTCATCTTCCACTCGTGTATTCTCAGAGAAATGAACAAAGGAAAATCTTTTAATCAAATATTGGTAGATTCATGTGAGAGGATATTTTTATTGTGAAAAAGACAGAGATATCTGCATCATTAACTGGATATGGAAGATACTTATGGATGGTTACCGGGAAGAAATACCGATAAATTATTTGCACGTGCTTGGAAATGGATTAACTTTCGGAAATAGCAGATTCAATAAGAGACTGGTTAAAATCAAGGTTCATTGTATAAACATAGTATTCGTCAACCTTTCAATATAGGTACACGTTCAAGTAGATTTTTATCCAAATATTAACAAATTAAAAGTTGAAGGCTCTTATAATTCTCTTTCATATCATCTTCACTTTCACTATTTGTAACTGCATACGTAGATTTTATAACATCTTTTTTTATTTTATTCTACCAAGGTGACTCAATTCATTTTTTTTTAATGTATCAGTAGTACTTAGCAACTAGTTTATTAACATTTTTTTTAATGTCAATTAATTATTTCCTTTTTTTCTCATCAAAATCAGTGACGCACATTGACCTTGGTAAAAATGCTTTCACAAAATTCACGTGCTACTTTCAGTCTTGCGAGTTGTGTAAAGATTTTTCGTTTTTGAATTGTGCCTAATGTTACTCTTATCGTATATTCATGCTCACTTGTTCATCTTATACACATTGAATAATGGTACGTATAAACGTCATACTTTTCATATATTTCAACTAAAGCTATTTGGTCCTAGTGTCCTTCAGCTAGCGTAAATCATGTAATACCTTGCATTAGTTAAGCAAATTTTCCCTGCAAAAGTTACATGAAAATTGAACAAAAATTGATGCACAAGCAAGCTAAAATAATCAAGATTGTTATTTGGCATTAATATTATTATTCACGTGCAACAGGAAAGATAGAAAATATTACTTCTTGATTTAGTATTTTGAAATATGTTTTTTCCGTTCAACAAAACTTAATGATAAAACAAACATATCTTTAATCTACAAATAAGATATGAGAGATATTCAACATGAAAACATAACAATATTAAACATTGAATACGATTCTACTTTTAAGTTTATGATAAATATGTATACATTTTTACGAGAATATAATATTTACTAGTAGTAAGTTGCAAGTAAATTTTCAGGGCTAAAACTTGTATGAATGTCGCTTTTCCAAAAATGAAAGCATTAATTAATGTCTTTGTCAGTGATGGCCTACCACATTCACTTCCCATTGGACCTATTCAAGATCAAAACAATCTTGTTTTATCCAAATTTGTCTCAATACCACATGTGATATATATGCGAATATATATCTGCCAAAACTTCCCATTGTATTTGGATTTCAAGGAACGAATCAAGGAAACATTGAAAGTAACATTACCTTTGTGAGCCACGTTAAGTTTGAAAAATCGTTAGATTAAACATAACCCACTTTTTTTTTCAATCCACCATAATTATTACTTCTCCACTTGCAGCTATGGAACATGTTATCGGCTTAAAATCAGGGAACCAAACAAATTTGCAATCAAACCATTTTGATTACTGACTCCAAATAACTTCAAACATTTTGATAAAGTTGGACGACATATAATGAACTTGCTATAAGCCATTATTGAAGCAGTTCATAGTGAGTAAATTAGTTCCTCAGGCATAGACACGGACTCTAAGAGATTCTTCAATCTAATAAAAACTCTGGACAATAATATACCTAGTTCTTGTCATCCACTAATGACTTCATAAATAAAAGTCCTTACTATATAATCTAAAAATCAAACCTTTTACCACCTGTCTGTAAATAAAAAACTATACCCTTCTTACATGTATCATTAAACTTTTGTTAAAGCCACCAATTCCAATTGTGAAGAGGGGAATTCTTCCAATATCTCTTCTTCATCATGTATATACTTGCTGGAACTTTGACTAAATTTCTGCACTAGTTGAGAAATAGAAGAACTGTGTTGTATATCAAAAGAAAGCTTCTACCACTGGCCTGAATCTGTTTGAACTCTATATTTCTTGTATACGTATCTGAAACTATGAATGTTTACATCCCACTATCTGTTGGAAATGAGAAAGGACTGTCCGGGAGATTGAGTCCTTGATTGCTGGATAAAATTAAGAAAAAAAATGACAACATCCATAGTTAGCAGCCAAACTGCATGTATACAACACAAAGGAATTGTTTTTATGGGGGGTTTGGCCATGGTATAGAGAACATATCAGAATGGCAGAAATTAGAATATGGATAACAAAAGCATATAATTTATAGGCTTAATTGCAATTGTCACTCTACTACGGCCAATGTATGATTTCAGTCTTTTAATGGTTTTTTATTTATTTATTTGAATTAGTCTCTCAAATTTTTTATTTTCACAATCAAATCCTTCTGTCAAATCTATTTATATAAAACCCTCAAATAACTAGAGATTTGTGGATGAAATTGTAAATAAAATAAAATGTTCAGAACTCAATTTTGATAAAAATTTAAAGATTTTGTGTACAATGTTAAGGTTTCAAAGAGCAAAATTTGGATCAATTAATTTAGGGTGAAATATGATGTTTCAATTGCTCAGTTGTGAACAATTTAAAATGGTTTAATGGATTTGATTCATAGAGATCATGAAATGAAAGATGAGAATTTGAGTTACAGATTAACAAGAAAGGACTTCATTGCAGTAATTAAAAATAATAGAAGGACTTGACTATAATAATTAAAAGATTGAAGGAATAAATTCAAGCATAAAATTATTAGGGGACTAAAATTGCTCAGACCATAGTAGAGAAACCAAAGAACAATTAAGCCTAATTTATATAAAACGGGTAGCACTAAGCATAGAGTGTGAGAGAGGGAAGAGAAACGCATTAGAAATTGATGCATACCTGTCCTCATCAGAGAAATTGGTGTCTCTGTGCCTGGACTGGTCATGCAGTGGATAACTGAAAGATTCTTCTGCCAGCTGGAAATTGAAGTGATCTGCATGAGAAATTATTTTAATCAATATAACAAAGAAGGATATATAGAACATACTGAAACTTGATGAGCAAAAATGTAAAATCTATATTATCACATACCATCTGAAATTCTTGACTCATCCAAAGAGAAGCCAAAATGAGGTGAAGTGGTGAGAGGTTTTTGGACAAACTGCAGCTGTGCAAGACTTCTCCTCTGAAGTTCCAAGGCTTGCTCTTGCTCTTCAATTAGCTGTCTCCTAAAGGATCTATGGTCCCCACAACTTCTTGGAACTAAATACATTGTAATTAATTATGCATTAGATTGTACAAAGGCTTCTCACAGAGCATTAAATAACTTGGATGAGAAAACCAATCACAGAGTCAAGTTATATGCTGTTCTAAGTTGTTAACCATAAGAACTAATTTAGGCTTCAAACTAGATAACATCATACCTGGGCTAAGTTCAGAGTCCATATCTACAAAATGTGGTGAATAACAAACAGAATGCTCAATTCTATCAGTGTACTTCCTGCATCCAAATTGAAATGATGCACACAGAAATTGTTACAGGGAAAACCGAAAAAGAGACATTAACATGCAAGAGAATCTTATTGAAAGTATATGCGCAGCAAGATTTCTTAAGATGTAAATGCAGATTCAAGATACTACATTTCTTCAGCTTACTTTGCATTTAAAGAATAGTTTTGACTCTTCAAATAATGCTTTTGAAATCATTTGATGGTCTTAAACAATCCCCTAAAGCATGGCTTAGCAGATTCAGCATTGTGGTTTAGCAACTTGGTATGACTTAGAGGAGACAAGGTTGATGAATGCTAAATCAGTACACTCCTATGGATCCTAATGTCAAGCTTCTACTAAGTTGGGGGGAGCCATTCTCAGATTCAGTGAGTAAAAAAAAAAAAAAAAAGACAGGCTGGAACTTGGAAGACTGAACTACCTACCTCACTATTACACATCCAGATATCTCTTTTCCAGTCAGCATGGTAAGTCAGATTCTTAGAGTAGATGCAGTAATTTGCATCCAAAAATAAATCAAAGAAGCTCTAAGAAAAAGCCTCTTATATGGCAACAAATGTCACAAGTGAGCTGTGGAATACTCTGTTGCAGATTGAGCAGGCTCTCCTACTGACAGAAAATTAATTTCTGGCTACTGCTTTCTTATTGGTGATAACATGATTTCTTGGTAAAGAGACGAGTGTTGTTGAAAGATCGAATGCAGAAGCAGAATATTGAGCCATAGTCCTGGCCACTTGTGAACTAATCTGACTCAAACAGATGCTCAAAGAATTGAGGTTTGGGGATGTCGCAGAGATGACACTTGTATGTGACAATCAGGCAGTCCTCCATATTGACTTAAATCCAATATTTCATGCGGAAGAAACATTGTGAGAGATCGCCACATCATCGAGGGAGCATATGTCCTCACAAAGTCGTGGAAAGGTCCTCAAATTATTTATATATGTAACAAACTTAGTACATACGATTTATATACTCCAGTTTGATGGGGAGTATTAGAGATTATGTAAATATGCAAGAGATTATGCAAATATTGTAATAGGAGTATAGTTTAAAGCCATAAAACTACAAAACCTTCTAATCAAAAAAGAAATCGAAATGAAATGACAAGGAATTTACCTTTCAATTGGCTTAGCTTTCTCCCGATATGGTTTCACAAGCACTCGAGAACCCCGAACACAATGGGGATTCCCCTTAGCCAAAACAGTTTTGACAGTTTCTGAATGAACAAATGTCACAAATCCAAACATCCTTCTCTGTTGGTTTGGAATTCTAACATCTGCAACAGGTCCAAATGTGCTACAAAGGAAATATATAAAAGGCAATTCATTAATGCGGATAATACTGGCCAAGAAGTTCGAAAATGCACTTTAACAACAAAAAGAAAAAGTAATATACTTGAAGTAGTTTGAGACATCATCCTCTGTGAAAGTGCTATCAGCTGGGAACGTCAGATATATCTGTCGCGATGCACTGATATTTCGAGCAAAATCTGCCTTGTGTATTTGTGTGGGAGCATCTTCAGCCAGAATCACTGAATGCTGGCCATGAGGTCTGTTAGTTAACCACAAGAAAAGTCAAAATAGTGCAAGAAACATCAAACACTGAATACATACTAGGTGTAAGAAATTCATAACACGCCACCTTCCTATTAGCCGAATGCTGTTTTTTAGTCGCGCGAGAAGCTTTGTCAAACTATAACCAGACTTACCATGTCTTTGGCTCTCAGTTAAATAACCATCTGCTTGCAGTACCTTTTTATACTTATCATAGTATGCCATTGGTAGCGAAGCAATTGACATTGGACTGCCTCTTGATCTTAGGAGCTCAATGATTTCTGACTCTAATTGCGCTAGCGACCCCGGGGAAATCACCGGATCATCACTGATAGCATCATTTCCATACATCTGAGAGTAATTCTCTGGCACAACTTGCCCATGATAGAATCTGCAGCTAGTTCCATGCTTGCAGAATCCTTTGTTGAAGTAGTGACACATCTTCGTCGGAAATTCAGAAAATCTTCTCCCAGTTTTTACTTCCAAATTGGCAGCAGAAGCATCTAAGCCATAGTAATCATTTCCAATCCCCCCACTCCCAGTATTTATAGCATCTAAACGGTTCTCCAACATGAGCAACTGCGTTTGCTTCTGAAGTTCTGCGATGGAATCCAAGTAATTCATTGCCATCAAGTCTGGATTGATGTTGCTAGCAGGTTGTGGATCCCAATAGGCAGGGGGCAGCTGGAAGTTTGGCGAAGTAGGGGTTCTAGGGGAGATTACTGATAAATGGCCTAAACCTTGGTGAGGGTTGACGGTTGGTGAAATTGAAAGCATATCTGGTTTAGCATTCAATCTTTGAAGATCATTTTTAGCCTTAACTGCCACATCATGGATGAAATAGTCAGGGCATGAAGCCAATTTAGCCATTTCTTGTTCACCATCATCTTGCATTAGGAGATAGCCAATTATCTTTCTAGCAAGTTCTGGCTCAAATTTCCGGATTTTATCAAAGACAATACTTGTGTAATCAGAAATATCCATAATTCTTTCACTGCAAAACAAAAAGTCCCAACCACATAAACAAGAAAAGAGTGAATAATGAATGCTAAGGAAACAAGTAAAGAGGGAAGAAACTCAAAACAGCATAAAGATTCAGTGCAAACCATACAGGGTAAAAGAAAAACCAGAGTCTAATCTTACAAAGCAAATTTGCGGACCTAATATACCATAGAAATTGACTAAACAACCAAAAGAAAACTAAAAAAAGAGTACAAATTCTGAGCAAGAGATTCAACAACAAAACAACAAAAAAAGTGATGTTCTTCGCCAAAAAGGCACCCTATTTCACGTATCAAATTATTAAAAACCTAGCAAGACAGAAAGAGTGACAAAATGTAGAATAGAAAAACACTTCACAGTGCATTATATTTTCCTCAATTTTCTCTGTCATCACCCAAAAAGGAAGTATTTTTTTAATCCATAACAGAAATGGACCTCCCTCCTAATATGGAAATGAGCACAAAACATGCTCAGAAATATTCACATGCGTTACACACACCAAAAATTAGAAAGCCACCTTTAAAAACAAACGCTTACAAGAAAAGAAAACGAACCAGCATTTGCAAATTAAAAACCGGGCACTGACATTTGAAGATTGCTGTTCAAAGGTCCAATTTTTGTTTGCAAATTAAAGAAAAGTTGGTTTTAATCTCAAACAACCCTTCTCTAAATCAACAATCAACCCATCCAAAATATAAAATAAAATAAAAACATAAATAAAACAAAAATCTTCAAAAGCTGCATACCCATCAAAGAGCATGAGATAAATAGTGCTGCAAATGTTTCAAGAACGGAACTTTTTCAACTTTTTCTCTCTCTACAAGGACCTTCACGTACATTCAGAGAGCTATGTCATCCTAATCCAAAAAGCAAACCAGTAATGCTTTTAAAAAGTCTCAGAATCCTGAGAGTAGCAAAGACACCATTGATGACTCTCTCTCTTCTCCTCTGTGAAATCAAATCCAGTAACCCTCACACACACTCTAAACTAGTAGTGACTCTGCAGTGTTTATTTCCTTTAAACTTTAAAACCTTTTCCAATATAACAGATGTTGAATAGTCACAAACTTGAGGCAAAATATTTTGCTTAATCTTCGAGGACTATAACTGCTTGGAACTGCCCCAATTACTAGATTCACCCTCTTAACTCTCTTTTTTCTTTTTATAAAAATAAAATAATAATTTGGAAAATCCAACGTGCTAAATTTAGTACTTCAACTCTTCAACTGCACACCTAGGTTATGTGTATCTCTATTATCTAGAGATTTGAGTCACACAAGGTGGATTTTTTTTTTTTAAGTTTATATTTAGGAGGTTAAGTTTTTGTTTCAAAACTATAAAAAAAAAAATATATATATATATATATATAACATCA